TTTTTTTTTTTTTTATATTTTGAGTCGTAGCTCACTGCTGCCCAGGCTGGAGTACAGTGGCACGTTCCCAGCCATCCCAGCTTCAACCTGCTGGGCTCCGGCGATCCTTCCGCCTCAGCCTTCCAAGGAGCCGGAACTACAGGCACACGCTACCATAACCAGCTAATTTTTGATGTATTGTAGAGATAAGGTCTCACCAGGTTGCCTGGGCTGGTCTCAAATCCCTGGGTTCAGGCAATCCACTCACCTCGGCCTCCCAGAGTGCTGGGATTACAGGCTGAGCCACCGAGCTCGGCAGTGCCCTTCTCTTAAGTGCAAAGGGCCCAGCTTAGTTTTTTTTTGAAGTAGGTGTCTCACTCTGTTGCCCAGGCTGGAGTGCAGTGACATGCTCACAGCCACTGCAGCCTCAACCTGCTGGGCTCAGGTGATCCTTCTGCCTTAGCCTTCCAAGTAGCCAGAACTACAGGCCTGTGCTACTATGCCCGGCTTATTTTTTTATTTATTGTAGAGATGAAGTCTCACCAAGTTGCCCAGGCTGGTCTCAAACCCCTGAGCTCAGGCAGTCCTCTCGCCTCGGCCTCCCAAAGTGCTGGGATTACAGGCTTGAGCCACCACGCCCGGCCTCAAATCTGAATTTTTAGATGACATCTCCTGAATTTTGAGATGTTGCCGAGCAGTTTAAATTCTGGAAAACACTGCGCAGACGTGAGGGGACCCCAGCCGGCAGCCCCTCCTGGTACAAAGTGCTCGGTCTGTAGTGAAGGGTGGATGGGTTCTTCCTCTTCCCCCTCCTCCTCTTCCATTCTTCTGCCTGCTCGGAGCCACCTCCTAATTCCAGTCACTGCCTGCTTGCATCCTGTGGCCCCCACCCCACCCCCAGACGAATCCTCATGACTGGTGTCTCCCTTTCTCTCTCTCTCCCACCCTCCCTCTCTCTCCTCAGACAGCCCCCGGGCCTCGCCCCGAGACGTGGGTCCTCTGGTGTGGGGGGCCGTAGGGGGGACACTGCTGGTGCTGCTGCTTCTGGCAGGGGGGTCCTTGGCCTTCATCTCGCTGAGGGTGAGGAGGAGGAGGAAGAGTCCGGGAGGAGGAGCCGGAGGCGGCGGCAGCGGCGGCGACGAGGAGGGAGGATCCTACGATCCCAAAACTCAGGTGTTAGGGAATGGGGGGCCCGTCTTCTGGACGCCCGTGGACCCTGGTCCCGTGAGGCCAGACGGGAAGGACGCGGAGGAGGAGGAAGAAGAGGAGAAGGCGGAGGAAGGCCTTATGCTGCCCCCACCCCTGGCACTGGAGGGGGACATGGAGTCCCAGCTGGACGGCTCTCTCATCTCTCGGTGGGCGGTGTACGTGTGACTGGAAGACAGACAGAAGGAGCATTCCAGACTGGTTGGACTTGTTTGTCCGGACGACACTGGAGTCAGACGCTACCTGCCACTTTCCTGGGATCCGGAAGGAGCTGGCAGCACACACAGGACTTCTGTCTCCAGGGCTGCATGGGGAAGAGGAGGCCCCGGGGAGCTCCATGGCGGGGATCCAGAGAGGAGCCCCAGAGACTTGTTTCTGCCTCCGGCCTGCCCTGGCCCCGACCCCGTGACACTCAGGAGTTAATAAATGCCTTGGAGGAAAACCTCGGGGGTGTCTTGCAATACGTCAGACCCCCTCCAGGGTCGTGGGGAGGAGGGGGTGGCACGGGGACTCCTAGGTCCCAGGGGTTGGGGAGAACCGCACGAGGCCCCCAGGCAGTGGGAGCCCGGCAGGGGTCAGACTGGGGACGGCCTCAGGGCTCAGACCACTGTGGGCCTTTTGGGACACGTTGGAAACCCAAGAACCCCGAGGCTGGGGGCACTAGGATTCGGGTCACTGGATTATGGGATTAGAGGCTGGGGCATGTGGACTCCTGGGTCCCAGGACGGAGGCTGCCTTCCTGGATGGAGTGGCCAGCCCCACTGGAGACCAGAGTTTCCTGGACTCCTGGGCCCTATTGGGTGGCAGACGGGGTGGGGCATAGGGGCTCGGGCCAGGGTTCCCTGGGTCCTGAGGGAATGGGAGGGCATAAGGCTGCCATCCCACCCTCTGGGGCAGCTCAGGCCTGACCTCCCCAGGTGGCAGAGGACTTAGGGAGGGGAGGGTTGCTTCCCCCTGCATTCTTTTTCTTTTTTTTTTTTTTTTTTGTCAACACAAGGTCTCGCTAGGTTGCCCAGGCTGGTCTCAAACCCTTGGGCTCAAGCGATCCTCCCGTCTCAGCCTCCCAAAGTGCTGGGATTACAGGCGTGCGCCTTTGTGCTGGCCATGCCCCTCCCCGCATTCTCAGGGGTCCCAAGGGCAGGGGCAAAAGGGGCTGCTGAGGAACCCAGGCGAACCCCCTTTTGGAAGCCCACAATATAGCCTCTTCCTGTCTTCTTGCTCCGCCCTTGCTCCAGGACTCAGCCCAAGGGGGTTTCCAGTGATTCATGGCTCCACATCCCTGACTTTGCCCCAACTAGACATCCAAGGGACGAGGGGGGCTCCTTGAGCGCCCAGACTCAGTGAGGGGCTGCAGAAGGGGCGGCCTTTAACCCGGCCTCTGCTCTCCTGTGGGTCTGTAATGTGGGTTCGGTGTTCCCATCTACCACCCAAACCTGTCAATCCACGGAGGACCTGCCAAGGGGCACCCTCAGTGTGGGCTGAGCAGCCAGGAGGGACTTGATGAATTCGTCTCTTCAACCAGCATCGACGTCCATGTCCCCCGTGCCCAGCCCCAGCCCCGCCCGGGCACGCAGGCCATGGTAGCGACACCAGGAACCGCAATATTTTCAGGATGAAAGCGTGTGTGTGGACCAAAGGCCAACCACTCCGGAGTCCCCCACTCTCTGAAGCCCAGCCGAGAATGCCAGACGGGAGCTGTGGAACCGGATAGTCCGGAGGCAGATGCTGTCCTCTGGGATGCTTCCTCTCCTCGCCTGGATAGCGGGGTTCATGCATGGGCGGGGGCACCGTGGGCTTTTCCATACTTGTTCCTTCCTCCAGGTGCTTGTCTGTTACTCCCCACCCCCAGGCCACCTCTCGCCGGGCAGGGGTGGGGATTTTGTCCGCCTGGCGCACGAGAGGTCCTTACACATCCAGCGCACACCTGTGTGCCAGACCTCAGGGCTCACTGTCTCGTGTGGAAATTAACAGTCCCATGAGGAAAGGGAGACATAAGAAATGAAATTAAGCATTATGAAGGTGAGGCCCGGAGGGCCATGAGCTTGGTGACTCCCTTTCTCATGAGGTCAGAGGAGACTTCCTTCTCTGTAATGAGTGAGAGATTCTGCCCTGCTCCCAGAATCCCGCTCCCAGAGTCCCACCCCGCAATGATCTGCTTTTCAGCCACCCCCCTCCTCTCTCTTCTTTCCTCTCCCTGTACTCCCTGCCTTATTCAGCCCCGGCCACAGTCTCCCTGCCAGTTCTTAAAAATACCAGGAGGTGTCCTCAGGGCCTCTGCGCTGGCTGTTCCTGTCTGCCATACTCTCGGATACTGTCATGGTGGCATCTCTTTCAGGTCTTTGCTCAGATGTCACCACCCAGTAAGGCCCTCTCTGATTATCCTTGGGGCCTCCCCGGTGCACATGTGTCCTCTGCCACTTCGTCCCACCTGGCATGTAGATGGGGTGTTGGTTTGTTTGCTGTTGGCCTCCAGGCCAACCAGAATGGAAGTTCCGTGAAGGTAGAGAGGGTGTTTTGTTTTTTTTTTGGTCCCAACTCGTGTCTGCTGTGGCCAGCACACGACAGATGCTTCTCACTCGTGCTCAGTGGGGATTAGTTGAATGAGAATGGCCTCTGCCCATGAGGGAGGAAGTAGACAGGTGGGTGACAACTCGGCCGGGGAAGGGTAGCTTGGAATAAGGGGCTGTGGCTCCCCCCCCGAGCCCCTCACGGTGTCCCTCTCCTTGCAGAGACCCCCAACACAGCAGGCGCAGGGGCCACGGGTGGCATCATCGGGGGCATCATTGCTGCCATCATTGCTACTGCTGTGGCTGCCACGGCCATCCTCATCTGCCGGCAACAGCGGAAGGAACAGGGGCTGCAGGGCGCAGAGCAGGATGACAAGTGAGTGGCAGCCGGAGAAGGGAACAGGGGCAGGGCTGCCCAGCTGGGGCGCACGGGGTGGTGGAGGAGGGGGGAACATCCGTCCACAATAGCTGTGCAAAACAGAGAGACCCAAGATAACCGGGGCCGAAACGGGGTGGGGAGGAGAGATTTCTCTCTTCCAGACTTTGCGGCAGACACAACAGCTCTGCTCTGAAGTCTCATCACAGCCCAGGCTCCTGCTACCATGTTTCTCCTCCTTCCCTAGACGTGGTCTTCATCACATTCCAAGATGGCTCTCCACTCTTCCATCAGGGTCTATGTACCTGATAACCATACATGGCTACCTTGACACCCCCATTCCTGCTGGTGGGAAGGGGCCACAGAAAGAGAGAGCAGCGGTCCCCGCTTTTTTTTTTTTTTTTTGAGTTGGAGTCTCACTCTTGTTGTCCAGGCTGGAGTGCAGTGGCATGCTCATGGCCACTGCTGCCTCGACCTGCTGGGCAGGAACTACAGATGCACGCCACCACGTCTGGCTAGTTTTTGTGACTTTTATTGTAGAGACAAGGACTCGCCAAGTTGCCCAGGCTGGTCTCGAACCCACCGGCTCAGGCAATCCTCTCACCCGGCCATGAATATTTCACAACTTATTCATTCTCATTCTGATGACTGTTTCCAGTTTTGGCTACGATGAATAATGCTGCTAAGGAGATTCATATGCAAATCTTGTGGGGAATATTCCCCTGACTTTTTTTTTTTTTTTTTTGAGTCGGAGTCTCACTCTGTCTCCCAGCTCCCAGGCTGGAGTGCATGACACCCTCACAGCACTGCAGCCTTGACCTGCTAGGCTCAGGCAATCCTTCCGCCTCAGCCTTCCAAGTAGCTAGAACCTCAGGCATACACCACCTTACGGCTAATTTTTTAGTTTATTGTAGAGACGAGATTTCCCCAAATTGTCCAAGCTGGTCTCGAACCCCTGGGCTCAGGCAATCCTCTCGCCTCAGCCGCCCAAAGTACAGGGATTACAGGCTGAGCCACCACACCTGGCCGCCCAACCTTTTTGGCACTGAGTCCTGTTTAATGGAAGACAGTTTTTCCACAGACTAGGCTGGGGGAGATGGTCTCGGGATGGTTCAAGCACATAGCATTGATTGTGCGCTTTATTTGTATTATTATTACATTGTAATATATAATGAAATAATTGTGCAACTTGCATTAAAAAAAAGAAGTGTGGAGAGGGGCTTGGTGGCTCAGCCTGTAATCCCGCGCCTTTGGGAGGCTGAGGTGAATGGATTGCCTGAGCCCACGGGTTTGAGACCCGCCTGGGCAGCGAGATCTCATCTCTATAATAAATCAAAAAATCAGCCGGGCGTGGTAGCACATGCCTGTAATTCCGGCTACTCGGAAGGCTGAGGCGGAAGGATCGCTGGAGCCCAGCAGGCAAGGCTGCGGTGGCCGGAGCGGCCACTGCACTCCAGTCTGGGCGACCGAGTGAGACTCCAACTCAAAAAATAATAAAATAAAATAAAATAAAATAGTGGGCGGGCCATGCATGGGCTTAAATAAGTGTCAAGATACTGACTTCAAGCCTGCCACCAGCTACAGCTGTATAGTTGAAGCAAATCAACTCATAGGCTTTTTTTTTTGAGGTGGAGTCTCACTCTGTCGCCCAGTCTGGAGTACAATGGCAAACTCATGGCCACTGCAGCCTTGACCTGCTGGGCTCAGTCAATCCTCCCACCTCAGCTAGCAGTTGGAACTGCAGGCCAGCGCCACCACGCCCAGCTAAATTTTTAAAAATTTATCGCAGAGACAGGGTCTCACTAAGTTGCCCAGGCTGGTCTCAAACCCCTGAGCTCAGGCAGTCCTCTCGCCTTTACCTCCCAAAGTGCTGGGATTACAGGCGTGAGCCACCCTGCCCGGCCTGCTGATAGTCTTTTGATATAAGTCTGCAAGCAGTTGCATTTATTATGGTCTCTGCAGTCAAACCTCACTGCTAATGCTAATCTGTATTTGCAGCTTCTCTCCAGTGCTAGCATCTCCACCTCAGCTCCACCTCAGATTCTCATAAGAAGTGCGCTTGCCTGAGCCCGCGGGTTCGAGACCCACCTGGGCAGCGAGACCTCATCTCTACAATAAGTCAAAATCAGCCGGGCGTGGTAGCGCGCGCCTGTAATTCGGGCTACTCGGAAGGCTGAGGCGGAAGGATCGCCGGAGCCCAGCAGGTCGAGGCTGCGGTGGCCGGGAGTGGCCGCTGCACTCCAGTCTGGGCGACCGAGTGAGACTCCAACTCAAAAAAAAAACAAACCAAAAAAAAAAAAAAAAAGAAGTGCGCATCATAGATCCCTCGCATGCACAGTTCACAATAGGGTTTCTGCTCCCATGATAATCTAATGCCATCACTGACCTGACAGAAGACAGAGCTGAGGCGGAATAAAAGCAATGGGGAATGGCTGTAAATACAGAGGTAGCTTTGTCTGCCTGTCGCCCACCTCCTGCTGTGCGGCCCAGTTCCTAACAGGCCACGAACTGGTACCAGGGTTGGGAACCCCTGCGGCAAAGGAAGGGCTGAGAAATTACACTCGTTACTTCCTCTCGCTTCCCATTGGCCAGAACCTAGTCACGTGGCTGCCTGGCTGCAGGGGCAACTGGGAAATGTAGTCTTCATTCTGGGTGGCCATGGACCTAGCTAACATTTCAATTACTATGAGAAAAAGGGAGACTGGTTATCGGGGGAAACAAGACACGTCTCTGTGTAGAGCACTTGTGATGTGCCAGACTTGGTGAGATGCATTTGCCAACCTGAAATTATGAGATTCAGAAAATGTGATTAAGTATGGAGTTTATTTGAGCCCAAAGCTGGAGGACGGTTACTTGGGACATAGGATCAGCAGCAGTTGCCAGTGGGGTTTTTTTGTTTGGTTTTTTTGAGTCAGAATCTCACTGTGTTGCCCAGACTGGAGTGCAGTGGCATGCTCATGGCCACTCCAACCTCGACGTGCTAGGCTCAGGTGATCCTTCCGCCTCAGCCATCCAAGTAGATGGAACCACAAGCGTGCGACACCACGCCCGGCTAATTTTTTTTTGTTGGAGTCTCACTCTGTCACCCAGACTGGAGTGCAGTGACCGCTTCCGGCCACCGCAGCCTCGACCTGCTGGCCTCCAGCAATCCTTCCGCCTCAGCCT